TGCTTGCACGCATGTGCGAATGGGTGGGGCACTCACAGGTGGACAGGGTACCCATGTGGGTGGGTTGTACATGCATATGTCTGTGGGGGGTATTGTGTGCAGGGGGCAGGAGATCTGTCTCCGTGGCCCAATCCTGCCAAGGCCATGAACCAGCACCGGGCCACAGACCAGGAGTTGGGAACCCCTGGTGCAGTGGATAGAGTCACAGGTTAGGATTCAGGATGTCTGGGTTTGAATTCCAACACAGCCATGGAAATTCACTGGGAGTGTAGAACTGTTTAAAACATGCCTTAAATAGCTCTGCATGGGTGCTTCCCAGCCCTGCCTTCTCCAGCAGAATCTTTCAGTGAAAAATAACTTCAGAGAAATTTTGGCTCAGCTCTAGTGGACTGACAAATGTATATTTATAAAAAAGGAATAATGGGATTACTAGGAGAATCTTCAGTTTAGTTCTAAAGTGCTTTGTATGCATAAGATCTCAACATCAGTCTCTGGCACAGGGTCAAGAAAGCAGATGTCCTCCAGGTCTTTTGGACTATTACTCCTATCATCTCAGATTACTGCCCATGATGGCTGGGACTCATAAGCATTGTAGTCAAAACCTCTCAAGGACACTTATTTACCTAATCCTGCTCTAGGATCTTCACATATGGACCGGGTTGGCACCTTTTTGTTTTAATTCTAAATAAGGAGCCATATAAATCCTAGCTGGAAGGCTTGGAAAGGTCTTCAGCAGAGACCGTTCTGGCAGTCATAGCAAAGGCATTGCCAGTCACGGTAAACAATATATCTAGACTTGAGAGACACCAAAGCAACACGAGACAGCTTTATACACACCGAGGCCATAATTAACTCAAATGGAAATTCTGTTACTTACATGATATATTAACTTAATACAGTCATCACTAAATTTAAATGAGGGTTTTCAAGAGGCAACGCTGGACATTGTGTAACAAAAGTGGTCTCCCTCTGTGGTTCTCATTTGGAACTGCATTCCTATCTAACAACTGATATCCATAAAGCAACCTGCTCTATTTGGAAATGTCTAACTTTGTGGTTTATATCTTGGACCACAATTCAGGACATTATACAGTTTTTATCCTTACTTGGTTAATATCTGAGTGACTTGTCTTCTGAAAAATATACTTCTGGTCCTGTTATGTACAGTGGTACCTCAGTTTATGATCGCCTCAGTTAACATAATTTTTGGTTTACGAATGAAAATCCATTGAAAATAATGCCTCAGTTTATCATTTTTTTCCTGCAATACAAAGCAAGTTTGCATTGTGCCTGGGAGGTTTCTAAAGCCGCCCCGTGCATGCATTCCTATGGGAAACCACTTTTCAATTTGCAAATTTTTCGCATTACAAAATGTCCCGGAGAACACATTAAATTCATAAACCATAAATACATCTATATGTGGCTCAAGCCATTTTGCTACTTGAGGTGAAGGACAAAATGATATACTCTTTCTCATCTACATACAGCAGTCAGCTGGATAGGCAATGGAACCTTATGTCAATACCAGTGATGAGAAAGAAGCCATCTTCATTGTATTTAAATTTGTGGGAGTGTTAGAGGGCCAGGACAGGTTGTGTGGCCAGCAAGAGGGCACAGCTGCAACCAGGAGAGTGTAGATGAACAGCTGGGAGGGTGCCACTGAGCAGGTTGCTCCTGCACTCAAGGATGGTGGAACTTAGATGATCTAGTCATGGCTGTCCCAACGCATGGTGTGAACCAACTCTCAGGTCCCACACTAAAAGAATAATCTAAGAAAAGACCCAAGAGTCATTTGAGAATGTTAGTGAATTCATATCTTCTGTCTTGAAGTGTCGTGGGAAGCTATATAAAAGGACACTTGCCCATTCAAGCATTGAAATAATTTTATCAGTTACATTTGCCTGAAGCGAGACATAAATAACTCACCCATAAATTATATTCATATATTTCAAATGGACTCTCAGACCTTTCAGTTATGTAGTGCATTGCCCACAGCAATTATGCAGCAAGTGTCAGTGATAAATTTTGCATGGAGAAAGAAACTTAAGGTTCTGCTCAAACTGTATTTTTTCCACTACACATACAGTTACTTGTTGCAGTTATACAATGTAGCAAACATGGCACATTGCAAGTACAGTACACATACTCATTGATGTGTCTCTCTCAGAAATCAGCTATCCATTTTACCTGCTCCTCTCAAACCATGTTGCTAAAAGTAGCCGCACCGAGGGAGGTCAAAAAGGTGGTAACAAAGGAATCGGGTCTCCTTTGGGGCAGCCCCCAATCTCTGGAATAAGCTTCCAGTTGAGGTACACAAGGCTTCTTCTCTCCTGATATTCAGGAAATTAGTGAAGAAAGAATTGTATAGAATTGCCTTCAAAAACCAGGATTAATATTGATTTATATTTTCTTTTCTTGTGCACTTCTTCTTTTTGCTTTAATTTTGTATCTAAATCGATGAAAAGCCACATTGATTGTATTGTTGTATGGGGTTCATGTGGGATTCTGAGTTATTTGCAAACTGCAAATATATATAATTTCTCTGTTGTGAATTGGTTGGTTTCGGTCAGAGATAGATAGATAGAAAGTCAAGCAAATGAGCAACTGATTTTATATAGACCAAGAAATAATCATACTTAGGATCCAAATCTCAAATGGAAAGATTAATAGGCTATTCGCAGTCGAACAGTAGCCTGCTTCATCCTCTGTTTTATATGTCAAGAAGACTACTGATTCGAGTGTGGATCAGCTACAAGGTTTGGTTCAGATACCATCCAGCAATTCAGAAAATGCCCTGATTCAGTTCAGCGCAGTTCTGACTGAAATGAGAGCAGAAGCCAGTCTTAAAGCTAGCCTCTGATGAGAACCGAAACCTGGTTAGTGTTAGAGAGACCAGTGAGACAGTCTTTCCTGCTTGAGAAACTGAATGTTAAAAGAATCCTGCTTAAGTGTTGAACACCAGTCTCAAAACAAAGCAAATTAATCTGAAAATTACACAAAGTAATAAAAGCTTCCTTTGTGATTCTCAAATGCTTTCCAGCAGTTAAGAAATCCCTTCTTCTAATGATAGATTACCTTTCAGAAATGAGGCAAAAATGAGAGTCAGCAAAACAAAGGTTTGGGCATGCCTCTGATAACCACTGGAAAATCCAAAGTAAGGAAAGCTAAAAAGAGACATTTTTTATCAGAATCAGGCTTTCTGAAGTGCAGGGTCCACTTCCTACAGATACAGGCTGCTTCACATCAGGCAGCACCAGGAAAGAAATGTCTTGGCTTGAGATTCAGGATTCACACAATACCCAAATGTGCAACCCTAGCACTAAATTTTTGCATATGATCGATTTCTGATATGTGATGTATTCAATATGTTTTGTGAGAGTACGTCCAAAAAAGTCAAAAATTGTTGCTTTTTATCAGAGCATCTATGTCACTTAAATGCAGAACAAAAAACAGACTTTATTTATGACCCTAGAATGATCATAAGTCTGTAGCTAACTAAAATACCTCAGAGTGAGAGTGTTATCACTTCAGCTTAAAGGTACTCTGCCACAGGCTGGTTCTTATTTCTTCACGTACGTTAAGTTGTGCAGTCACTTGTTCTCAACATTAACTTTCTACATAAAGTGGATGTGAGGATCAAATGAGGTGATGCCATCCTCGTGCTTCTTGAAGGAGAGGCAGGATAAACATGTAATAATGATGATACATGGAGAATAAACGTCATGTGGGGGGTATTTTTTATTTTTATATTCAACTGATCTATCAAAGCATACGAAATGTAAAAGAATTGGTAAGACATCCCCCAGGATCTTGAATGGATTTGCAGCCGAAGTTTCTCAGAATGGTTGATTTCAGCAAGTCTCTCAAGAGAAGGTCCCCACTGACTGAGGAAGCAACCACGTTTTCCCTCACCGTGTTCTCGTTCAGATCTCCATAGCCCCTCACTGCATTGATCATGCAGGCTTTTAATTATTCTGCTTTTCTTCGAAGTGAATCATGAAAATTTAATGTCCACAGTTTTAATTTAGAACACAAAAATCCCTAAATAAAAGAAGTAACAGTGTGAATGAACAGTGAGACTTTCCTGTCGTTCCCCCCACCCCAACATCTTTTCCCTCATAAAGAGCTGAAAGTATGGAATATTTCTCTTTTTTAAAAAAAAAACAAAAACCCTTTGGGTTCTTTGATATAAAACAGAATTTTCAAACCTTTGTTTTCCAGAAGTTATGCTTGGGAGATTGTTTCCCCTCATGTTGTCTTATAGAACAGTTACCATGGGAACCTAACATCAAAGGCCTATTATGGGGAGAAAAAACACAACCCAAAAGGTCTCATTCCTTTTGTGGGGGAAATGTACTCAAAGCACATAGTTTGCTTGCGTATGTGTGCTGAATAATATATTTTGAGTGGAAAATGTATATGTGTATATTTGCATCTGACTCTTTTTAAACTCACCCTCCTCAGAAATGGGGAGACCTCTGGCCACTGTCCAAATCTAGATGTTCATGATTTCAACATGGCTGAGGAAAAACCAGACTGTGCTTCAGCACATGCAGTCTTCCTCTCTTATATCAGGATTCTCTCAACACAGAGAGTGTACATTTGGCTGCTCACTTTTGCTTCGCAAATTGGGTAGGATAACAGAGAGGGCTGCTGGCATGCTTGGCAAGTGTACCCAGTAATGGGAGTAGCGGGCAGCAGTGGGCACTGATGTGAATAGCCGCAGACAAACAATGTCTATCTGTCATGTTAATTTTTTCAGCAGTGGGCACTGATGTGAATAGCCGCATTACAGTCTATCTGTCATGTTAATTTTTCACAATGTCCTCCATGCTGTCATGTCACTGCAGGAATCTTGGTCATACAGCATGGGACACCAATATAATTTGTAATTTTCAGCCATGTCCTAAAGTGATCCAACAGTGGAAGTAGTGTAGAAAATTAAAATCTCTGTTCCAGATTTGGCTAGCTGCCTGAATGGAGTGCTGAAAACAAAATACAGCCTTTGTATTGCCATCAGCAGTGAGTCCTGTATGAAGCTGAGACTGGGGAAGCTGATCAAGAATGGTAAGTGCCGATGCCAGCCCTGGAGAGGGAAAAAGAGACTGAGAAAAGAGTGAATTGGTTAAGCCCTGTTATCTGTAAAGGAGATGCTTAGGATCTGATGGCAAGAGAAAATTTACTACCATGAGTCCTGAGTAGATAAAGTGATAATGAAGGCAAGAGACACTGGCACAGTGTGAAAAAAAGAGATGCCCAAAACTAGTGCTGGGAAAAGTTATATTTTGGATTAAAATCCCCAGCATGCTATCTGGAATGATTGGATTATGGGATTTGTAGTCCAGAAACAATATTTCCAAGCTGTGCCCCAGATCAATGTGCTCCTTTCCCCTGCAACATCTCCAGTGCTGGCTGCAACCAAAGAACATTAACATCTCTGAAGATCAGACTAAGGGCTCTATCAATTCCAAACACTTGGGTTGCAACAGTGACAAGCCATATGCCATTTACAACTAGATAATGGAAGCAGCCTTCCCCTACTGTTTTCCCCTGCACCCCACCTCAACTGTCTGTTATTCACAGTTTCCTGCCTGTGTAAGAGTCATTCCATATAGTGATTGTGGCTAACAGGCATTAAACGACTGATCCTCCAGGAAATTGTCTAATCTCTTTTTAAATCCATCCAAGCTGGGATTTCATAGGTCTCTGGGCAAGAGAATACCATGTCCCGCCTCTCCTGACAATCCTACCTCTCCGCAAAGAATGAGCATCATCATTTTCCATTGCTGATCTCCAGTACATGAATACCTCTGATTTGGAATGTGACCCTGAAGCATTGATTTCAAAGCACAGCATGTCTCTTGGCTGGAATGAACATGGAACATAGGTCTTTTGGGAGCTGTTGCGTTCAGAATTTGCTGTTGTTGCTGCTGCTGCTGCTGCTGAGTGCATCCATGAGATTTGCTTGATGGCAGGTTGCAGAAGCTGTTTATTCGGAAGAAGAAAGTGTGTCCAAACCTTTATAGTGAGATGCAGTACTGTATATTGTCACCATGCTTGTTCAGGGCACACATTGCTGTGCACATCTTTGTTCAGAAAATGCATCTTTCTGGGACAGAAATGACTGAGGGAGGAGGATTAGCCTTATTCTGTTACAGAGCAGGCTGGGTCAGCCCAGCAGAGCTCGAGCAGAAACTTAGCACATTTTCCAAATACAGTACAGCACAGGATGCACAAACGTAGGATGATTCCGTTAAGATAGTGGAGTCGCCTCATAAAGTGCTCAGTGGAGTAAATACAACCAAATGAGAGTGTTTGCACATTTTTTTCTGAGAAAGTCAACAAAATGGCAATCGAAAAGTGAATCATAGCATAATTATAGAATAACTAAGTTGGACGGGGCCTATAAGGCCATTGAGGCCACCCCCTGCTCAATGCAGGAATTCAAGTGAAAGCAAATCTGACAGATGGTTGTCCAATTTTCTCTTGAATGCCTCCATAACTGGAGTGCTAATTATCTCCCAAAATAATTGGTTCCGTTGTTGTACTACTCTAACAGTTAAGATTTTTTTCCTTTTTTTAAAAAAAAACACATGTTATTAGTTTTTCAATCTATCTGCATTCAATTTGTGCTTGCTAAACATCATGTTACATGGGTTGCTTATAATTATTTGTTTTTTGCATCTTGGTTTCTTCTTGTCTCTTCAAAATCTATCCATTTTTTACACATTTAAACCGTTCATGTATATATTTTGGTCTACAATATTGGCTGCTGTTATAATATTTCTCTCGGAGCATACAATGTTCTCAAAATCTTCTAGCAACATACCTAATAAAAGTAATTATGGTTCCAAATCTGTATAATTTTGAGGTAATTTAACCGACAAACTTTGTATTTTATAGCAATAATAACTGAGTAGGTTCCTAATACAGATGTTATCTAAAGCATTTTATACAGATTTTCTTTATATAATTATTTAGCAATTTCTATCTCCACGCTTTCTATCATGTACATATCAATATCATATCTAATATATATTCATTAAATACTATTTGTTTTGCTCCATCCTTATATCTAGATTCAATTTACCTTAAAAAACCACCATGTTATGCCTTTACCCTGATCAATGATCCCTTATTTCAGTTTAATTCCCCTTTTTAATGTATAAGATATGCCCCTTTACAATTCCAGAAGTTAAGTATATACATGCTTTCAACACTGAGGGCCACCTTAATATTTTTCCCTTTTTCATCTTTCTAAGTAACTCCTTCTCTTATTTGTCTTTTCCCAATTCTTCTATCTCTCCAAACTGCCATCCCTTTTGTCATCTGAAAACATTTTATACACTTGATCTATCTCCAATAGATCTGTATGCACTTGATCTAGCTCCAATAGATCTCCCAGGCTATTTTTAATTAATTATGCTGATTTTCTCCCCTTACCTTCCCTTAACACAGGTAACATTCTCCTCAGCTCTAGGTTTAGAATTAAATCTCCTAAATTTTCCCCTCTGATTTCCTCCAGCCCTTCTTTTGGTTGGCATATATTGTCCCCCACCCTCACATTTCCTTGTTCATTATACCCTGCCTCCTGTTGAATATAGTCCTTTTTTAGTTGCTCCTTGAATGATTTCACCTCTTTGTTATGAGATCTCACCATTTCTAAGATTGTTTGAAGGGTAGATTTTATTTCAAAATCTCAAAATTTCCCTTGTTGTAGCATTATATCCCAAGATGCCAAATACTTGTATTTCAAGTCAAAGATGTCCAGTAGCTTAGAGCAGTCAATTGGGTTCCATCAATAATTGCTTCAATAAGTCCACTTTAGTAAATTGATCACCTTTAGGGTTAATTTGAATCCAGTCTCTGACATAAGTTGACAGCCCTGTTCACTCAATGTTTGTATTAGACTTTAAAGAGTTAATTGTCTATGTTTTAGTCGGTTCTCAAGGAAAAAAAGGAAAAAAGTTCCAAGTTTGAGTATTCAAGGTCATGTTCTGGGCTTTTGGCCAACACTGTAGATAGCCACAACAGTTTAACTCCCAGCGTTGTTTGGCTAAAATAATTTTAAGTGGAAAATTTCTTAAGTTTAACGCCAAAGTAATACCAACTTCCTTCCTTGAAGAATAAGTAAGTGTTTAATTAATGTCCAGTTTATTATCTTTGTGTCTCTTTGCGTCTCTTTCCCCTTCTCCAGATCCACCACTGCTCAATTTAGTGGTGGGGCTAAGAAACGCTTTTTTCTGTTAAAGGAATTATTCCATCCAGGAATAGTCATAGAACAGTATAGTTAATATTTTGTATCTCACCCAGTGGTAACAGCTATGTTAAATTGGCTGATTTATCGCTTCTTCTTTTGCTGGCTGCCAACGACTTGCAAGCAAGCTAATTCAGCTGCTTGTTTCCACCCGCTGGTTGATTGGGTAGTTTCCTGGATCAAACGTGGGTAACCATCATGTCCTCCATGATCAACAGGCTTCTCCCCCATTTCACCACCTCTTCAGGGTGGTTTTAACCCCATGGGGGGGTCCCAAACAGGTTGGAATTCAGCCCAAAGGACAGAGCTCCATCCTCCTCCTGCTGTCTCATTGCAGCATCAAGCTGGAAATCTCAAGAATTTTCTTCCCTGATATTCAGCTGAAATCTGACTTCCTGGCTTCTAGCTTGAGCCCATTATTACATATCCTGCACTATGAGATGATTGAGAACAGATCCTGCCCCTCCCCTGTGTGACTACTGTTAACGTATTTGAAAAATCAGATCCTGCCCCTCCTCTGTATGACTACCGTTAACGTATTTGAAAAAAACTATCATATCACTCCTCAGTCTTCTTTTCTCAAGGCTAAACATGCCCAGTTATTTCAGTCCTTCCTCATAGGCCTTGGTTTCCAGTCCCCTGATATATCCCACCCATCTGGGTGGGATATAAAGAAAGAAAGAAAGAAAGAAAGAAAGAAAGAAAGAAAGAAAGAAAGAAAGAAAGAAAGAAAGAAAGAAAGAAAGAAAGCCTAGCCAGTGCTGAATAGAGGGGAACTAGTACTGTATGGGATTTGGAGACTAAACCTCTTATCACTGCATCCTAAAATAGCATTGGCCTTTTTTTGTAGCCATATCACACTGTTGGCTCATATTCAGCTTGTGATGTACAAAAAATCCAAGATCCTTCTCACTTGTAATATTACTGAGCCAAGTATCCCTCATCTTGTAACAGTGCATTTGGTTCCCCTGCATCAGGTGTAGAACTTTGTATTTAGCCCTTTTTATTTTGTTGTTTTCAGCGCAGTGCACTAGCCTATCCAAGTCTTTTTGAATTTTTGTTCCTGTCTTCCGAGGTATTAGCTATTCCACCTAATTCTGTGCCACTTGCAAATTTGATAAGTATTCCTTGCTACTCTCTCATCCAAGTCATTAATAAGAATGTTGAAGAGCACAGGGCCCAGGACTGAGCCTTGATGTACCCCACTTGTTACCTTCTCCCAGTCTGAGAAGAAGGCAATGATAAGCACTCTAAGTATGATTTTGTGACCAACTGTGCACCCACCTGACAGCTGTCCTATCCAATGCACAGCTAGTCAGCTTGCTAATCAGAATACCTCTGATTAGAGACAGGCACAAACCTCAGTTTGGAGGTTCATGCTGGTTTGCAAGCACAGCACCGCAGGTGCTGAGCATTCCCTTGCCCCACCTCTCCAGCCAATGCCCCACTCACCAGCCAGAGTCTTCTCCTCTTCTCCGCCTTTTTGGCTGTTCAGCCAGTCCCTGGCAGGAGCATGGGCTTGCCAGCCCCACCTCCTTGTCTTAAGTGGGCAATCAGCCAAGGAGGCGGGTCAGGGAAGCCTATACTCCTGCCATGGACTGGCTGAACAGCCAAAGAGGAGGCAGAGAGGAGAGTGTGCTGGCTTGTGAGTGCAGGAATCTAGCTGGAGAGGTGGGGGAAGGAAACCCACAGCACCATAGATGCTGTGCTCATGAACCAGCATGAGCCTCCATATTGAGGTTTGTGCTCATCTACGTCTCTGATATTTTGATATTCTCTGAAGGGTATCTCTGAGATAGGAAGCACAGAG